GAACTTTACATGTTTTATCTGTTAAATGTTTCTTCCCTTTACAACCTTACACCTGCCCCCTACTGCCCATTATCTATCATACACTCCCCTCCCTAACAGTCTCTGGTATCTATATTTATCCTGACCACTATCATATCTTCAGATCTTTCCATTTCTGCCATAGAGTATAGTATCTCAGATTATCCTCTGAACATCTGTCTTACTTAACCTCACTATTTGTCTTGATTCCATTTCTTTTAACCCCTGAGAGTTTGTAATCCCATGTAAACTCTCCCTTTCACTTCACCTCTTTCTCTCTCTCTTCTCTTTTTCTCATTTGAAAATATACATGGATCTTTTCTGTTACAAATGGTCTTTTTCACAATCTCATTGCCCTTCTTTGTCAGGCAGTCTGTTCACCTTCTTTGACACCAAAATTGCCTATGCATACTTTCTCCATTTCTTTACCACCTTTGAAAATTGGTTTCTTGTCCTGCCTCCTCTTCCCACCCAAACCATTGTTTTTTAAAGTTAACTATCATTTCTTTTCTAATCCTTTTTCTCCTTTGATCTCCATACCACTGTCCTCTCTAAAGACTCCTAGAAACATTCTGGCCCCTTTCTGCATTAGTCATGGTTTTTCCACTTTTCTTTAAGGTCTCTTTATTTTTTTAATCTAAGGGTTGCATTTTTTCATTTTTCTTTTTGCTAATTTTATACATTTGCTTTTATATTTTTTATTTACAGATTAATTTTACATAAAGTTCCTATCATGTTGTATATAATATTTTTTTAACAGAGAACTTTACATGTTTTATCTGTTAAATGTTTCTTCCCTTTACAACCTTACACCTGCCCCCTACTGCCCATTATCTATCATACACTCCCCTCCCTAACAGTCTCTGGTATCTATATTTATCCTGACCACTATCATATCTTCAGATCTTTCCATTTCTGCCATAGAGTATAGTATTTGGTATATATTGAGTGGGGATGTACAATGCATATCTTGCAAAGACTGGCTCACTTCAACCAATATTAAGTCTTCTATATTTATCTACTATGAGTCAAACAATAGGGTCTCATAGTTTCTTATGACTGAGTGATATTCCACATATAATAATGTGCCACAGTTTTTCAACTTAGTCATCCGTTTCTGGACACTCAGGTTGATTTTCTGACTTAGCAATTGTGAATAATTCCGCAATAAACATGGATGTGCAAGTGTGTTTCTGAGGGATCTCCTATCCTTCAGGTAAGTACCAAGTACTGGGATTACTGGATCATATGGTAACTTTGTTTGTAGATTTTTGAGGAACCTCCGTATTGTTTTCTATAGAAGTTGTACTCATTTACATACCCACCAACAATTTAAAAGGGCTGTCTATTCACCACAGCATTACCAGCTCTCATTGTTCTTTATTTTTTTGATTCTCATCATCCCAACTGTGTTTAAATGGTATTTCATTGTTATTTTAATTTGCATTTCCATTGTAGCAAGAGACTTTAAACATGTTTTCATATACATTTTGGGCATCCATAAGTCTTCCTTGGAGAGCTGTCTATTCAATTTGTTTACCTGTTTTTTAATTGGATTATTCGACTTTTATGGGTGAGCTGCTTGAATTCCCTATATATTCTGATTATCAATCCCTTGTCTGTCAATTACTTTGCAAATACTTTTTTGCCATTTTGAGAGTTGTCTTTTCACTCTAATTATCATTTCCTTTGCTGTGAGGAAGCTTACTAGCTTGATGTAATCTCATTTGTCTATTTTGGGGATTACTGACAGGGGTTTAGGGGTCTTATTTAGGAAATTTTTGCCTACTCCAAGTCTTCTAATGTTTCTTGCAGGTTTTCTATTAGTAGCTTTGTAGTTTGAAGCTTTACATTTAAATCTTTGACCTATTTTGAGTTGATTCTTGTTAATGGTAAGTTATAGGGGTCCAGTTTGATTTTTCTGAAGGAGAATATCCAGTTCTTCAAGCACCATTTGCTAAAAAGAGTCTTTTATCCACTGCATTGTCTTGTCAAAGGTCAGTTGGCTATATGTTTTGGGGTTTAGTTCTGGATTTTCTCTTCTATCCCATTGGTCTGTGTGTTTATTCTTGTGCCAGTACATGATGTTTTGATTATCAACATTTTGTAACATTTTGAAGTCGAGTAGTGAGGTGTCACCTATTTTATTCTTTTTGTACACTTTTGTCTTGGCAATGATCAGATTTCAGACAAATTTTATACTTGCTTTTCTATTCGTGTGAAGAATTTCACCGGCAATTGGACTGGAATCACACTGAATATGTAAATTAATTTGCACTCTTCAGCCTTTATGCTACTAACACTATCCAGGACTCTGTCCTTGCTGCCCCACTCTTTATTTATGTATTAAGTTTTGGGAGGGGGTTTACCATAGGACATGTGTGCTTTCAGAGAGAGACAGAGATAGGGTGAAAGTAAGAAATCACTCCCCAGGGGTGATGGCCATGCCACAATCCCTTCTCTTCCATTCTCCTCTTGGGAATTTGGTCATGCAGGCACACATGCCCAGTGTGATTTTAACAGTCACCAGGTCTGGGGCTCAAACCATGGCTAGCCATGTGAGAGTCATTAGCCACCATGGCACCTGCACAAATTTCATATCTTGTTTTACCACTATCTATGACTTTGGACAAAAATTTCAAAGCTTTAACTAATCTTTTGCATCAGTTGTATTCATGCCTTTTGTCTGAATTACTTTCCTGCCCTATTACTCTGCACCTTACTAATCACTACTAATTTTTGTATGTCATTCCCTCTAAGAAATTTTTTCTGAATCCCAAATCTGAGTTAGATGTTTTTCTAATGTGGTACCCTAGCATTTTGTACCAGTCTTTAAACATAGCATTCATCTTATTGTCTTCTTTGTCTATATTGTCCACTAAACTAGAACCTCATTGAGGACAGAGTATTATTTATTAGGATTTCCGTAGCACCTAGCATAATGCCTAGCATGTGATAGGTTTGAAAACCCAGTCTACCACAGATAAGTATATGTCCAGGCAAGAATATGCAAGTTCACTGACAATGCTTTCTTGTCAAGGAAATTTCATGGAAAAGACATGTATCAGTGTTATGTTTGGTTCTGACAACTGCTCTTCCCATCCACTTACTCTCTGAGTGTGCTTTTTTCCCTTTACTTTTTAAAGAATTATTTTATTTGTTACCATTTTTTTTTTAATCTGTTGTAGGGCACATGTACTCACCAGTGAGGATGGGGCAGAGGCAGGGAGTGAGAAAGCAAGTTGCCAGGTCTAGAACTCGAACCATGGTTGGCCATGTGGGAATCCAGAGCCTTCACTACAGTGTCACCTGCTGACCCTCTCTGAGTGTTCTTGATACCAGTTCTTATTCCCTTCGTAAGCCTGCTGGCAACACTCACACTACTTGCTTTTATTGGGAATGATCTTCTATATTTCCACCTTGATTTTTCGTATCCAATAGTAGAGTATGCTGTTAAAAGCTATCTCTAGGGGGCAGCAGGTGGTGTGGTATCTTGGGTGCTGGACTCCCACATAGTCAACCATGGTTTAAGTTCCCGACCCTACAGCTTGAAAATCACACCAGGTGTGTATTCACATGTGCCCAAAATCCCAGGAGGAGAATAAAGGAGAAGGAATTAAGGTGTGGCCATACTACCTTAGTGGTGATTTCTCAGTTTCCCTCTATCTCTTGGGTGAGTTCACATATCTTATGGGGGGAAAAAAAAGCTATCTCTAAAGATGAAGAGAAAGTCGAAGTACTAAAAACTACATTATACCATTACCTACTCTTAATAAAATGATAATATTGCTGGGTCAGCAGGTGGCATGATTGTTAAGGTGCTGGACTCCCACATGGTTGACTGCAGTTCAAGTCCTGTACCCAGCAGCTTGAAAATCACACTGTGTGTGTGTGTGTGTGTGTGTGTGTGCACGTGCAAAATACCAAGAGGAAATGGAAAAGAAGGTATATCAGTATGGCAATTCCCCATGGGGAGTAGTTTTTCACTTTTCCTCTCTCTGTCTCCCTCTGGCAAGTACACAAGATGAACCTTATGGCAAAAACAAAACAAACAAACAAACAAAAATTAAAACATTGCTCCTCCATTTTGGTCTAATTTTCACTCCTCCAACTTTTAATAGTAAATAAATACTGTTTTTTTTCATCTTTAAAGGACTTGGTGCCATATCTAAGTAGGTATAGTCAAAGCATGTATGGCTGATGTGGAGGTTATAACTGTCTCTTAAAGAACATATTGCTCAAATATCTGCTGTATAAAAAAATCTATACAATAATAAAATATCCTAAAGTGAAACAAAAGAAAAAAATCACTTAATGGCCACATGTTCTGTGCAGGCACAGCCTTAGTAATTTTAATTGTTGGCATACCAAAACGATAATGAGCAATCAGTTCATTTTCACCTTTAATCCTAAACTGTAATGTCGCCTTCAACAAGCAATGCCTGAGTATTTCATCACAAATGTCAAAAGTTTCAAAGAAAATTTAAATTTAAATTCAGTGATTTTTATCTATGTTTTTTATCACATTTTCAAACATCAACCTAGTACAGCTTAGACCCAATGAGTTTCATTTACCTCCCTGCTCTGAATCTGAAATTTCATCTTTTTGTTAACATGTTACTTTGGATTAGGGTAAATTGAAAAGACTTTCAAGTAAGATGAAAATAACATTTATTTTATAAAACTAAAATCTATGTATGTTAACCTTAACTTGGTTCATTACCTACTTATTTTAGGGAATACATGTCAAATAGCACTTTACAAAGATATTCTTGGCAGAAATGATGGAATGAGAACTCAAGTACCAGATGCGTGGCTAAATAAGATGACTTTTAAAATCTTGCTCAATTCTGAGAGTCCAGGATTTAGATCATGCATCAATTTGAGGCACACTCTGCTGAGTGAGTTCCTCAGATTTTTTATAAAAATAGCTATATTTATAAAAAGAAAAGCCCCACAGCCAACAGGGGATATGTACTTACGAGTATTGTGTCAGCAGTTCCAAATCATTATGCATGTTGATGGGATATGCTTCACTGAGTTCGAACAACTTCTCCAGGGCCTCATAAATGAAGATAATGCAAATAAGAGAAGCAAAAGCTTCTTCAGTAAACCGAGTGATATAGCAGACAAGGGAACTCGCATCAGTAGCCACAAGTATGATACACAGGGTTGCAGTCCAAAGTCCAATGCTAGCTCTTAAAGATAAATATGACAACCCATACTCTCTAAAAGGAGGGAAAAAAGAGAACAATACAAAGAAGATCATTTAACAATTTGCCATCATTTTAAGTAAATGAAAATAAGCCTAGTTCGGGAAGTGAATGTAAATAAGACTTAAATCCCATGAATATCTGAACTGAAGACTTCATCTAAAGGGAACATCTAAGGGGACAACTAAAAGGATTTCTCAGTCCTTAGAACTGAATCTTATTTTTTATAAATATTACATATCAATATACACAAATATTTTACTTTTCCTTTATTTCCATAGAGAGACAAAAATGACAAACTGAATCAAATCAGCCAAGTCCAACTCTCCTAACAGACTCTAAAAGGTGATGTTGGGAAAAATGTAAATACAGTAAAGAAAAAGAAAAGGGCTAAGGTCCAAGAGTACATTACACTTACTTGCAAAATTTAAACAAAATCTTTTCAAACACCAAAACTGGTCCTGTACTGCCCAATATGGTAAGAGGCTGACCACCAAAGAGAGAATAGGCTATTCCAGTCATGGATGCTCCAAACAGAGATTCGATTGCACTCTGTAAAAATATACATGGTTCCATTACCTAAGTTGTACAGGCAGTCATTATAACTAGGGAAAAAAACATTTAAAATGCACATGCTCCTTCACTGTGAAGAACCTAGCAGCCTTGGGCATTATATGGGGTAGGATGAGAAAAGGGGCCTGTAGCAGCCAGAAAATGAATGATACCAAATGGAAAGATGTCTTCTCCACTTTCTTGATAACCTTACAGAAAGTCTAAACTTACTCAGATTCCTGTCTAGACAGAAACATGGCCCAGGTATATGGGAAATAGGCCTATTGTGAAGTAAGAATAGAACCTAAAATGAGGCTGGGATTTGGAAGAAGGGGGCAAAGGAGATCAAAACCTTACATAAGACTCAAAGCTAGTTCAGAGATAGTCCATTCCCAGATTACCAATTCCACTACCCATTCAGAAAACTCATGATTTTTTTTTTTGGGGGGGGGAGACGTTTTTGCTATAGGGTACGTGTGCTCACTAGAGAGACAGAGAGACAGAAAGTGAGAAATCACTCTCCCAGGGGGGATGACCGTGCCACAATCCCTTCTCCTCCACTCCCCTCTCGGGATCTTGGGTACGGACACACAAGCACCCAGCGTGAGTTTAAGCCACTGGATCTGGGACTCGAACTGCAGTCTACTACATGGGAGTCCAGCAACATAGCTATTATGTTAACTGCTGGTCTCAAATTCATATGAATTTCATCTTTCCCAGACTATACATCAAATATCTCCTCATAAAATAATTCAAAATTAAATGCTCACTTATCTGTGTATGAATCTTAACAACAGATTGTTTTCAAAGTTCTGAGAAAAGCATAATACATACTATACGGCCTTCAGTTGCTTCTCCAAGGAGTCCTCCAAATGTGATGACAGGAGACATACACGCGCAGTAGAGAAACAGAAAAGATGCTAAGCACTGCAGGCTGAAAGCATCTCTGAAGTCACTCCAGAAGTATGGAGCTTTTCTTTTGATATCTAAAATAAGTCCCCCAAAAATCCTAAGACAGGGGGAAACAAAATAGTGAAACCCAAATATAAAAAACACACAAATCAAATGATCATTTGCTTTGTTGCCAGGTCACAGTATACGTTTTCCATCAGCTGAGGTAAGACCCACATTAACCTACTTGTTGTATTATAATCTACAAGGATGTCGTTGCACCAATATGTTATCTCAATTTCTAGCCAAATATTATACTAATAACCAAAGATCCCAGGTTCTCTCAAACAAGGCTCAGAGCTATTCACCAATCAAACTTCAAATAATGAGATTTAAGGATTACACTAACCTCTGTGCCATTTTTACATCAACCTACTCTTTCTAAAGTCAGGCCTAGCACCCTCAATCATTGGAGCATTTTCTAATATTGACATTCCATTTGGCATAGCAGAAAGTGAGGGAGGGAGGGTTTACTGGCTTTTGTATAATCCAATAATGAACATCACCCTAGAAAGAAAAAGCAATGTAGCAGTATTTAACCATGGCTCGAGTTGCCTACTCTCTCTGAAGGAAAAAAAAAAAAATCCTCACCAAATAATGTTTGAGGCAGATATTTAAATGACTTTATGGATAACAGCAATATTTAGTAGAGACAGACAGGTTTTAAAGTTTAAAGTTGCTTCCA